ATAGTGAAGGTCAGACATTTTAGGCAACATAAACATCAGAAACACACATTTTTCAGTGGAGGCGGGCTTTAATTAAAGGATAGTAACACTTCTTTCACCACTTATCTCATCAAAGTTGACGGGTGACATATTGCAGAAGATATTACATCACACTTGATCAAAATATAAAGTGATTTGAAAGTCGTGGTGGCATGCAGACACACACACACACATCCACACAAACTTTGTCTTTCATCTGCTCTATAGGTATTTTTTCTAAAGAATGCAATCAAAAACAAATCAATACGAGCTGCCATCTTGTTGTCAAAAGTCTTTCGGATTCCTGCAGAGCACTTAAAATACTATAAATAAGCACATGGATCATTACAGCATTGTCCTGTGGATTCTCGACGCAGCCGATGTTCTTCTTGCCCACAAGGATCAAGTTGATTACTAGAGGAAACCACTCAAAACCGCAGTACAGCAGTAATACAACCACCTGCTCAAGCTGTCTGACTCCATCTGCCTCAGCGTGTAACAGCAAACAACATAATGTTGTTAAACTCGTTGTGGACACAGTGAGAGTTCCAGCTTTGTACCTGATGCTAATTATCAGTTCTGAGTTTGTTCGTTAATTATTGATCACCTGCTTGCGATATCATCTGATTGAGGTGTCGACTGACTGTCTGCTGAGCTGTTGCTATCTTTGTATAATAAAAAAAAAAAAAAAAAAACAATGCAGAGACTTTGTATGCATGCAGGCTCTCAGTGTAATGGGATCAGATGAATAAATAGTGTGGCAAAGAATGAGATATGAGCTGAATAAACAGCACAAATTTAGGCAGGTTTGTGGTGATAAACATGCAAACAAACACAGTGTGTTTGTGTGTGTGTGTCTGTGGGGGGATGCCAAGAGATAGGAAGAGAAGGAGAGAAAAAGAAGTCCTATTAAGGATTTTTTTTTTCATATGTGGCTTCAATGAAATCTGAATCCTGGAAGAGTTTCTGTGTTTTTACAGTGAAAACAGTCAGTTAGCACCTTCTGCCTTATTTTGTTTTTATTATTTTAAAGGAGATCTAATTGATTGTTTTTCAGTTGTATATAGTAAAGGTCAGTACAAATACAGTGGTGTGAGGTTACTAAGTTCATCTACTCAACTACTGTGCTTAAGTCCAAAATGTAGGTACCTGTACTTTACTTGAGTATTAGCATTTCATGCTACTTTATTCTTCACTTTATACTCCCCTAATTTTATTTGACAGTTTAGTTACCAGTAAATTAAAGTTTAAATACAACACATGTGAGTTAACAATACATAATGCAGTGTTACATGCACAGATGAAGCCAGAGGTTCCCAACCTTTTTCCTTAAGGGACCCTTTATATCATTGAGTCAACTGACGATCTCTGACTATGAGGCATATGACAACATATTTTATAGATACTTCATAGGGTTGAGCCAAACACTCTGAAGAAATGAGTATCTGGTACATGATGTACTTTTTTAAAGTACAAATATCTGAGTAAAATGTTTCAGTATCTGTACTGGTGATGAAGAAAAATCCTCATTTCGGTAGCTGTGTTTAATCTCTATGGAGGAGGATTAGGGCAGTGTTAAAGAAAAGAATCTTAGATTTTTGGAAATTAAGTCATAAATCTACGAGAATAATGACGTAAATCTACGAGAATAATGACCTAAATCTACAAGAATAAATTCATAAATCAACCAGAATAAAGTCATAAATCTACGAGAATAAAGTCGTAAATCTACAAGAATAAAGTCATAAATCAACCAGAATAAAGTCATAAATCTAAAAGAATAAAGTCATAAATCTACGAGAAAAAAGTCGTAAATCTACCAGAATAAAATAATAAATCTACAAGAATAAAGTCGTAAATCTACGAGAACAAAGTCATAAATCTACAAGAATAAAGTCATAAATCTACGAGAATTAAGTCGTAAATCTACAAGAATAAAGTCATAAATCTACAAGAATATAGTCATAAATCTACAAGAATATAGTTGTAAATCTACAAGAATATAGTTGTAAATCTACAAGAATAAAGTCGTAAATCTACAAGAATAAAGTCATAAATCTACAACAATATAGTCGTAAATCTACGAGAATTATGTTGGAAATCTACAAGAATAAAGTTTTCTAGTCTTCCGATCACCACATGTCACATTCACCCACCACACACACTGGTGGCTGAGGTTACCATACAGGGTGCCACCTACTACTCAGTAACCATTCACAAGCACTCATACACCAATGGAACGGTTCAGTATCTTGCCCAAAGATAATTCAACATGCAGACTGGCTGAGCTGGGGATCGACCGATCCTCCGATTAGTGGACGACCCGTTCTACCTCTGGGCCACAGTCGCCCATTTAGGTCCCTACCATTTCTGCTTTAAACACCACCTATCCCGAGTATGGCAGCCAGTCACTGTAGTGGAGCAAAAAGAAAGACAACCTGTGGCCCAAAACGCATTTTCCCCATAGACGTATGAAAAACTGTTCACAGGACACCTTGAACTGTAAACAAGGTCAATTGTGGGCTGCATACCGTGGAAGCACATCTGGAAGCTAGGAAAAATTTTTGCCGTATGCACCAGGCGAACAACTCCACTGAAATAAGTAGGTGCCATTTTGGGGTTTGATAACTAGTCATTATTAAAATCTATGGGGCAGATATTTAGATGATTGAACAGATACAGATAATGGTTTTCTCACCCAGCCCTCATACTTAGTTTTATATGCAATGCATAACAATACAAAACAACTGATAAGCTGTACAGATAACTGAAATAGAACGCCATAACTGCAGGAAGTTTGTGGAGAACGAGTGATTTGGAGATTATTACCTGTATATGTTGCATCAAAGATGAGTTTTCCTGATATTTTAAGGAACTTTTTATATCATTCTCTCTATTTTTTTTTTTACCATCATACATACTTAATAGGTTTCTTGTTGATAAATTAAGTGTTTCCTTCTCCCTGACGCTCGGCCATTGTTCTATTTGCTCTGTGGTTGTTTTACCTGTGTACTTTTCCAGCACAGGACGATGCTGTTTAGCAGAGAGGAAATGCTCTGTGAATGTAGGTGATGTTCAGGACTTCACTCTGTCCTTATCTTGTGAGGTGTTGTTTTATTTTTTTTATAATGCAAAGAAGAAACAGCTTGCAAACCGCAGGGCTCCAATGTTCAGCCCATTTATTAGCACCGTGTGCACACGGTGCTAATAAATGGACCGTTTCTTCTTTGCATTCTATGTTGTTTTCGGCTCAGCACCTGCCTTTTTTGTGGTATGGATGTGCGTGTGGACCTTGTACTCTTTATTTTTTTTATAGAAATGAAAAAATGCTGAGATAGAAGACTACTGTAAGTTTTCTTACACCATTTCCCATCTCCAGCTCGTTTGAAACTCGTCTGCCAGACTTTTAATTCCAAGAGACAAGACCACAAAACTCCCACTGTTGCGATGCTACACTGGCTACCTGTTAAGTATAGAGTTGATTTTAAACTTTTATTGATTACTTTTAAAGCCCTACATGGCCTCGTTCCAACATATATTTAATTTTTACTTACGCCCTATGAGCCTTGCCACTGCCTGCGCTTCTCAGGTAGGACCCTCCTAACTGAAACTGGGTATTTTCCCGTTAGCAAACTCAGTGTCTTTCTTTAAAACACTCCTCAAAACATACTTTTACGGGAAGGGTTTTTACAGTAAGTCTGTAGTGTGTCTAGTTTTTATCCTTCCTTTATCAATTTTATTATTTATTTATAAAATTAGCATCAATCATAATATGACTGTATAACACTCAAAGACACCATTTTTCTGGATAAATAAAGTAAAGTAAAGTAAAGTAAAGTTTTGATAGTGTAATTACACTTTGCTGATAATACTTAAATAATAATTTTAATGCAGGACTTTAACTTGTAATTTGTAATAATTACAGTAGTGCCATCGATGCTTCCTCCACCACTGCTGAAATGTCACTTTCTGTATCGGTGTTAATAGGACCAAAGTAGGAGAGACAGCGAGACAGAGAGTTTCCCTTGTTCTTCAAATGTCTAAATTTTTCCAAAGCTTGCAGCAGAAAGATGCGTGGCCTCGGGTTGCCTGCAGGCTGTCATCACTCAGCTCCCGCTCCTGACACAACCAAAGTTTCCAGGTCAGGGAGGAGCACAAACTCTGACTGCTGGGGTATTCTGTATCAAGGCAGGAAATCGCTGTCGTCGTCGCTCACATCCCCTATCCATATTTTATGAACATGTGAACTCTAATTATGTTGCCGGTCTGCACACTCACACTGATTCCATTTAGCAGCCCTCTACCACCGGCACCTCCACCACATCTGTATCACCTCAGTGTAGCTGCCTGTTGGAGGAAGCTTCAGAGATGTTCTCCCCTGGCTTCTTGAAATATACAAGCCACGTACACTCAGTTAATCAAAAGTGAAAAGCCATTAGATGAGATATAGAATATGTTCCACTTCACAATGGCTCTGCAGATTGTATGGGCAGTTATGGCACTGCAGGGTTGGTGACACACTGCCCCCTGCAGGCATGTCGCAGGAACATCCATCTATCTGCTTTACAGCTGCTGTGGCATCATTATAGCCTCAACCATCGTTTTAAAAGAGCAGAATGGCAGCATTTATAGGCCCTCCCTGAAAGAGTTCTCAGGTCATCTTCCTCCAAATTGGGCAATTAAAGTCTAATTTATTAAAATTAAGGAGCTCGACATTAACACTGCGTCTGCACAGATCTCTCTCTATGTGGTGCTTCCCTCTGCTGGGTTTATTTCACACCACAACTTCTAATTTACTAAAGGAATAAGCTCCTTTATTTGACTTAATCCAGAGGAATGCCTTTTTCATTACAATGTGAAAATTAGATTTATTATTTTGCTGGAAAAATCTAATCTCCCCCCCCTAAAGTGTTGCAAATGATTCATTGCAGCAGACAATGGTCACAACTTCAGACACACATTCATTGTTGAGTTCTACTCACTGAAGTTGTGTGCAATCTTCTGGTTGAGCATAATATGCTGCGTATGGCTCGGCTCAGCGGCATCAAACGTCCCCAGATCTTTGATGGCAAATTGCTCGTATAGGCGGGATGTGTCGATTTCAATCCTCCCGGTGCTTTCTTGTATCCAAAATGATTTTGCAATCTGCCAAGAAACAAATTAATTCAGGGCTGAGACAACTCCATTATACGAGGAAATCAATGTTAACATTACAAAAGAGCAACACTGGGGAAGCAATAACTGACAGAGAAAACAAAGAGTAATTCCCAACGATGATGCAATATGAGAAATAATGAAGTGAAACCAAGTTGAAACTGACCTTTCAGAGTTTGCCACAGTCAGAAAGCACTGCATTTAAATATGAATAATTCACACTAATGAGATACGTTATAAGCCTCATATTTAAAGGATAACTTTTGTATTTTCCAACCTGCTCTCTCTTTTCCCACAATGTTGTGTCTGAGAGATGAATGGAGACAAGTGTTTTTTAAAATGGTCCAGTACTGAGCGATAGAAACCGGCTGCAATGTAATTACTTGGGGCAACTGGGCGAAGTCTATGTACGTCCACTAAAAGTGTTTGTTTTTGCCGCTTGTTCGCTCAGATTGTTCTCATAAGTGTCTGTAACATTATTGAAAACATTCTTCCAAAGATGCACCTTTTTGCTTAAGAGTAAGATCCTCTTTGTTTAACTAGAAACAGCTCCAAAATCACCAAACCCACCAGACTCCATGTAAATAAACAGTAATTTTAGCATGTATAGAGGCAACATATTTTCACATCTAACTGGGTGAATTGAGGGTTTATTCAACCAAACCAGAGCTGGTGATTGTTGGAACAGTGAAAAAAGCTGTTGTGGGTTCACCCTTTGAAAACAGCGGCTGGCCACGAACGACCATGGGATATTGTTGCTTGCATGATCTAATTTAATAAATCGATCTATAGTAAGAACCATATTAGCGAGAGCATTTATTGTTTTTGCAGCAGGAAACTAAAGCTTCTGTCTTCTAGCACCATCACATCATTAACTTACATTACCTAACTTTACCTTACTTTGGGAGTGGTGCAAACATGGTATGTTCCTGTAATGGCCACGGGAGATTGTTCTTTGCATAATCCTGTACATATCAATTTAAAATAAAAATCATAATAGCAAGAACCTTCATTCTTTTTGCAGCAAAAAGCTAAGGCTTCTGTCTTCTAAATCATCATGTTGTTACCTTACATTACCTTACTTTACCTGACTTTGGGAGTGGTGCAAACATGGTATTTTGCTGTAATTACAATGGTATTTCCCTGTAATGGCCACAGGAGGTTGTTATTTGCATAATCCTGTACATTTTTATTAGGGCCCGGCCGATTTAATCAGCCGATTATAGCCATTAGATTATTATAGCCATCGGCCAAAAGTTGGCCGATTGACGCCGATGTTAACACTTAATATTTTCATCACTATTAAAATGCAGATAATGTGGTGTTTTACTTAGAAATGATGTCTTTGTGTTACTTTTTGCACTATAACCTACCTCTGTTAAACTGGCGATAAATATTAGATTTCTGGTACTGTGAACATACATGTGAATGTCATAATTCATATAGACTTTGCATGATTATTTTATTTCCCAGAGGTTTACTGCCTTTTTGCACATCATATTTTTGATTTATTTTGTGTTCAAATTGTTCATATGCTGCTTGTTCCACACAGTTTCTGAAAATATTTGAGCAGGTATTTCGGGGGTTTATAAATTGAAATTTTTTTCCATAATATCAGCATCGGCCCCAAAAAATCCATATAGGCCGGGCCCTAATATTTATTTTGAATAAAAACCATAATAACTAGAACAGTCAGTCTTTTTGCAGCAGAAAGTAAAGGCCTCAGTCTTCCATGTCATCATGTTGTATGCTCGTAATGACGTCATTACGCAATGTTTCATGTGGTGCAAAAATGCCCTGTGGCACCAGACAAATGAATGATAAATCTGTCAAAATGCCTTTGCAGTCTGCTCATAAAAATGTGCATATCACAAAAACGATGATATACATAATTCGAATAACTTGTGAAATGTCAACAGATATTTTGTTTATGTTTTTTGTGTTTATTTTGTGAAATCTGATGGAAAAACAAAAAAAAAAACAATTTTTGTATTTCTTTTTTATGACCCAATTTCAATTCTTTTTATGAATTATTATGGCTTATTGACTTGTGTAACCTTTTAGATAAGGTTGTACAGATTTTAGGAATGTGAAGCATTTGAAGATACTCCAAGAAATGACATCATAATAAGCAAAAATACCACTGTAGGCACCTGCTCACCGTTTCTATTGCGGAGTTCAAAGGCTTTAACAGAAAGGATCTTACTCTATAACAAAAAGGTCTGTCTCTGTAAGGATCATTTCCATAATGTTGACAGGCACTTGAAATAACATTCTGAGCCTGTACGTGGCGAAAACAAGCACTTTCATTGGACGTAAATGGACGGCGCTCAATTACCCACAGGGATTACATTGCAGACAGACAAAAGTGATTGTTCCCGTTAGTCACTTAGACATTAAAACATGACATAATAGGGTTCAGGTTACCCTTTAACTGTATGAGTACTGTATGAGTATGGTGATTTAGTGTTTTCTGATGAAGGAAGTTTTAACTGACAGCTGACAGTGTTACCTTGTCTGAGCCAACTTGGTCCCAGTGGAAAGCCTTGGTGTGTGGTTTTTTCAACTTCATTGGGATTTTGAAGGGTAAAGGTGGGGGTGGAGGGATGCTGGGGGGTGAAGGCCCTTTCACAGCTGATGAGCTTGATTCATGGTTAAGAGACTCTGGGACTGTGGTAGAGGACGTGAGGGCAGTTTTGGAGGGTGAGGGTTGAGGGGAGGTGGGCAAAGATATGGGAACGACACCGGGGGAGGTTGGTGGTGGGACGGGAGGCAAAATATCAGGCGTGATAACAGCAGTGTTCTTCGTGCTGCGAGGTTTAGGAACAGGCTTTGCATAATCGGCTGAGGGATAACTTTGATTTGTGTCACCAGATGATAAATGATCTCCACCAGCAGGAGTTGGAGCCGCATTTTCATAATCAACTGGAGGATAAGTTATATTCTCGTCACCAAATCCACCACTTGACTCAGGCTCTGCGTCACTGTCCTCTGCATCTTCATCTATGCTGATATGTCGTAGATCCTTTGTTTGTTCAAACAATTGTTCCGCCATTGACTTCCTCTTCCAGTCCCTGCACAGTCTGTGAATGGCATGGACCCAAGCGTCTCGTTCCTTTTGGACAGCCCCAGGAGCAGCAGTTTGATCTGGTACAGGCACCCGGAACCTGTTATAAATCCACAAAACTTAACTTCACTCATGAACTGAGGCAATTCAGGTAATTAACACTTGAGGCCTATATTTACAACATTAGCACTAAATGACGCTGCATCATAAGTGCCACAGTATAAATAAATGCATTGCAAAAGAGGCTGCTAACTGACATTTCACATTTTTTTCAAGACTGTAAATTAATTTGATGAGAAACAGCTGATGTCTGAATTAATTTACTGCTGTTTATTTCCACATCTTAAAGAAACATATTCTAGGGTTGTATGAGGTACCTATCCATAGTCAGTGCAATACCTACAGTAGATGTCTATCTGAACGCCCCCAGTTTGGAGAAGCAGACAGAAATGCCAACACAATAGCTATGTAATGTACTGCTGTGGACAGGGGCAGCATTTAAAGTGTTTTAGCCACCTTAAAATAAAAATCAATGTCAGTTTAAGCGTATGCTAGGATATTTTCAGTGCTTTACTTTGCTGTCAGACAGCAATATCCGACAAGGAACTAAAGCTGTTTTCTATGTTTATATAGGTTTATTGCTTTAGCATTTTAAAGGTCCAGTGTGTAAGATTTTGGGGGATTTAGTGCCATCTAGCGGTGGGGATTGCAGATTGCAACCAGCTGAAACTTCTCCCGGTTAGAATTCCTTCAATGTTCATTGTTCAGGAGGTTTTTACCAGGAGCCGAATTATCCGCAGAGGTCCTCCTCCTCTCCAAAACGAACACGCCAGGTGATTTAAGCTGGTAAAAACACTGTACAAAGCAGTTTCACATTACAAATCAGTGTTTCTCCAATGCTGTTTGGTATGACGGAGATGTGCCGTTAGCTCAGCACCTGCTAAGCTGTGCTCACGTTTTTCTTTGATAATTTACAATCCAGATGTTCAGGAGGTTTTTACTGTGAGCTGAATTATCCACAGAGGTCCCTTCCTCTCCAGAGTAAACTGACGCAGTGATTTAAGCCAATAAAAACACTAAATTAAGCAGTTGTATATATATATATATTTTTTTTTTTTTTTAAAAAGCACTGTTAGTCCCAAAGGGGCTGCTAGCTATGGTGGCCAATGCGAAAACGCAAATGGCCCTATTTAGAGCCAGTGTTTGGTTTGTCTATTCATAGCAGTGCAACATAGCAATCTGTGTAGACAAGAATCCACTCCCTGTGTAGATATAAATGGCTCAGTCTAGGGTAAAGAAAACAATGATTTTTATTGTCAGGTGATTGAACACTAAGGAACAAAGGTATTATTGTATTCCATTTCTGTCAGTATATCTCCCTAAATCCTGCACACAAGTATTCACACGGGGAGTGAGTTCCCCTCACATTTCTGAGTAAACAGGTGTTTTTTTGTGTGAAACAACTAACAGCAGGGAAGTCAGGTTGAAATAAGGAAGGAAGAAATGCTTGAGAGACTCCCACCCCACAGCACCACCCCAATATAAACAGAAGCAGAAGAAAAGGTACAAATTGGTGCAGAAATTCACCAGAATGCAGGAAATTAAGAGTTTGACGCCCTAAAGAAAGCACAGTTATATTCCATTTTTGCCAATATAGCCCCCTATACACTGAAACTTTAAAGGGTAAGTTTGGATTCACCAAAGTCACACACTAACATGAACTACCCAATGAAGGCAGCAGTAAACCAGCAACTCCAGTGTTCTGCAAGGTAAAATTACTTATGTTGCCAAAGGAGATTGGATGCTTTGACTCTGAAGCCACAGGTGGATATGATGACTTCAACTCATCAGTAAGGGCTGTCTGACAGCAAAGTCAAGAGGTGAATATATTCTAAATATGGCAAACACTTTTTAGGTGGCTAAAAAAATGTTGTTGTACAGTTTGGACAAATGTAAGCACTATTTCCAGAGTCACATGACATTTGGGAAGAACGTATTTCTGGGTTATTCTTGGTCACTTGAGGCGATTCTGTTAAGTCTTAGGAATCTATGAAGCATTAAAACTTTCAACTGCTACACTGATTTGGACAATTAAATGGCTATACAGAAATGTATGTCCTGTTGTTTTGGAATTAAGAGTTGGCAGCGGAAGGGGTAATCCCTATGTTCACTGAATATGCAAAAGGTGCTATTCACAGGTGAGGCCAGGTCCTTGACATTGGAACAGACCTTAGACAGGATTCGATGACGTAGCCTCCTTGAAATTCGTCCATTTACGGATCCTTCCTTGACTTTGAGAAACACCTACCGAACCCCAAATTGCTCCCGATGGCTGTTCCATCAGTGTGTGTGTGTGTGTGTGTGGGTGAATGCTTACTGAGTAGCAGGTGGCACCATGTATGGTAGCCTCGGCCACCAGTGTGTGAATGTGTGTATGAATGGGTGAATGTGACATGTAGTTTAAAAGCACTTTGAGTGGTCGAAGAGTAGAAAAGCGCCATACAAGTGCAGTCCATTTTACCAACCACCACCTACTGTAGATAACACACCGACTGTTGAGTACCTCATACAACTCCACTTTAAAAAATTTGAACTGTCCCTTAAGTAATCCTCACTTACTTGTACTCATTTTTGTGGGTGATCAGGGTGAAAGTGTCGGAGCTGTGAGGTTTCTGTACGCTGGTGTCGCCATCTGACAGGTGAATCACGATGGACCTGGGCACCGAGTATGTCACCTCACCATCGGTGGAGCCCCGTCGCCTGAAGGGGACCAGTGTTAGCTGGCCTGGGTGGAGCTGGACCTCATATCTGGAACAAAATAGAGAAGGTAAACCACCACAACAGGACCTGAGCCGTCCAAAGACCACAATACATACTGTTTTCGCAGTTAGTATACTTGAATTCCATGTTATTTATTGTGTAAATACTGTAGTTATGGGGATTTGTGTGTAAGAATATTATATCAGACAGTTATTACTCAAACCACCAAAAACAGTATTTTTATGTCTTAGAAGATGTCTGGAGGAGATCTTTAGTTTTCTTTAGTCGTCACTTGTCTATGTGAGCACAAATTAATCTTGATTCATATAAAGTGAATTAAAGAGTTTTACTGTAATAAGGACACATCCTTACTTCACCCATTTGAATGATGCCAGGCCTCCTCGGTGCAGTAACAAGACGCCTTCCCGAAGGCTCTGTGGTGTTTGAGGCTGCTGACCTGTCTCTGCATCGCCCTCAGAATCACTGTATATGTTCCCATAAATGATCTGATTCACAAGCTGCATTATCTGAGAACCACCAGCAGGAAAAAAATACCAATGAAAGCATCAATAACAACTGGCCACAAAGGAATACAAGACCTCCCTCGTCTCAGCACACATTATTTTAACATAATTGACAGCCACAACAGAGTTTTACAGAGTATAAATATAAGCAAGACAGTTTTACATGAACTGGTTTCTTTTTATATTTTAAATGTACTCAGAGTATAAATTCACCTTGTGTTTGTCCTCCAGTGAAGTGGCCTCCAGTTCATAATCATGGTGTCCTTTAAAGGAAATGGAGAACCTGGAACCTGATCCATCATCACAGCTCTTGACAGTTGAGAAGGGAAACTGTCGCTTGATGATGCCTTTCTCGATGCTGCACAGCATTTTGGTCTTGAAATCAATCTGGGTTGGTCACAAGAGTTTAAATTAGTGTGGTAGCACACGTCTACTGAATATATAACACAGGACAAATGGTCATATTTGATGTCATGATATAGTTTTCTAGCCACATTAGCAGGCTGGTCCACGTTAAAATATCTCAACAACTACTGATTGATGAATCCTTCTGACTTTGAGATTTGGTGCAAGCATTCATGCATGCCTCCCTCTGGATGAATTGGAATCACTTTGGTGATCTGTTAGAGGAAGAATGTATGATTTCGATTGATTTTGAGAATTGTTGTGTCTTAGTCAGCTTAGAATGAGCCCTTTGATCGACATAAGCCTCTCTACTCTTCCGACCACTCAAAGCTCTTTTACACTACATGTCACATACACACATTCACACACTGGTGGCCTACGCTACCATACATGGTGCCACCTGCTACCCAGTAACTATTTGCACGCACTCACACATAGATGGAACAGCCATTGGGGGAAATTCGGGGTTCAGTATCTTGCCTAAGGATACTTTGACTGGAGGAGCCGGGGATCAAACTACTGACCTTCTGATAAGTGGATGACCCACTCTACCCTCTGGGCCACAGCCACGCCACTTGTGTGGGGGGAAGAGTTGTCTTGTCTTTAAGCTGGCAGCAGAGGTAGTGATTCGATGTCTGTGTAATGTGTGTAGCCCACCGCTGGGAGATTTAAAAAGCAGCTAGCAGTTAGCAGCTAACTCAAAGAAGAACAGCTGCCAAAAATGTCCACAAACAGAGGAGACAGGTCCAGGAGCTCCTTAGCCTTTGAGATCACCCGCCAGGACAAGAACAGTAAATGACTGCTTACATTCACGTTCATTAATTGCAAATGGGCGGCATGGTGTTCCAGTGGTTAGCATTGTCGCCTCTCAGCAAGAGGGTTCCTGGTGTGAAGCCAGGTTGGGGGAGCCCTTCTGTGTGGAGTTTGCATTGTCTCCCCGTGTCAGCATGGGATAGGCTTCAGCCCCCCCATGACCTCCAACAAGATAAGCGGTTACAGAAAATGAATGAATGAATGAATGAATGAATGAAGTAAATGATTTTAGTTGACATGTTATGCCATTATTATTGTCTAGAAAGCAATGCTGATGCGTATGTTATGTGTCACACTAGAGGCTGATTTGTTACACGTCACACCCATCCCGCCTCTTTTGCTTTCACAACATCGCCATGCTATTTAAAACCACACATTAGGGTGCATTATGCTTGTGTTGTTTGCTTCTGTTTAAAAAAAGCAAAGGCAGAGTAATGAAGAGACTTTGTAGCCGCCCTAGCACATGATCTCTGTGTAAAAAGGGCTATAGGGAGCGGCTCCTCTTCCACAGAGCCTGTTATATTGCCTGCCATGTTTGTACAGTAGTTGATAACAGACAAACCAAACACTTGCTAGAGACAGTGTTACCAGAAGGACACTGTAGGTTCTCTACATGTGAGGGATTTTCAGGTGGTTGTCTGCAGTCTCGCTGTTAGATTCCACTAAATCCTACACACTGCCACTTTAACTTTTCATATACTTTTCATATAGCACCTTATCGGGTAAACTTCAGTTTGTCTAATACCTTAGTTTCTAACCACATGCCTGCAAAACTAATGACATTCCTATCAGCCTCAGCTGTACTTTGTGTTAAGTGCAAATTAGCAAATGTTAGCAAGCTGAACTAAGATGGTAAACATGATACACATTAGGGATGCACCGAATATTCGGTAACCGAATATATTCGGCCGAATATTGCAAAAAAACACACATTCGGTATTTGCTGTAATAAGTTAAAAGCAAGGCCGAATAATAGCAGCGTGTTTTGATAACACAATCAAACAGCGTGCCGTGACGTGACACGTGAAGTAAAATGTCGGCAGTGTGGCGATCCATCCCTCACTGCACTCGCATTTGTGACTAAAAATAGTTTTGAGCGAGCAAAATAGGCTTAAATCATTCAGCAGGCTGTGCGAGCAGCCTACAGATTTCAACCAGCAGCAGAAACGAAAGGCGAATCCCACCGATTGTGGGTTGAACGGGGGTCACAGACACAGACAGTAATGTATCCCTGTCAAATACGGCAGCCATCGGCTTACCGGCGACGGATAAGTCGGCTCCAATAATATCCTCTTCTTGGCGTCATGACTGCCCAAAAGTACCTGAACAGCCGAGCCAGCCGAACACAGGTATGTGACGTGTTAGAGGAGAAACGAGCCGTCCATAGCCCAAAACCTCACCGCACTTTAGGGACTGTTCTTTAGTTATGAAGGGGAGGAGGGTGGCTGGTTGATTCTTATTTTATTTATTTATTTTATTTTGATCCCTCCTATGTTAATCACTTATTGATGCTGTTTTTGAAGTATGAATAAGTCAATAAGTGATTTATTCCATTGAAATATCATTGATGTAGCCTATAATAGAAAAGTGATTTATCTTTTCATAAATGACAAAAGGCACATCTGCCTCATTTTCGCTGTGGTATCGTGATACTACTCAGAACCATGATATTTTCATTGGTATCGTACAGTGGGATCCAATTTTGGTACCGTGACAACACTAATCTGGAGGGGGTTCATCTGCAAAAACTAATGAAAAACTAAACAACGATATTCGGTATTCGGTACTCGGTACTCGATCAAGCGTTTAATATTATTCGGCTTTGGCTTCGGCCACAAATTTTCATTTCAGTGCATCCCTAATACACATTATACCTACCAAACATGCTAGCATTGTCGCTATGAGCATGTTAGCATGCTGAACGTCAAAGCACAGCAGTGCTAAGGACAGCTTCACAGAGCTGCTAGCATTTCTGTGTGCTCTTGAGCCCTTTGTACTCAGAGATTGAGCTATAGAGCTGCTACAAAGTCCCTTCTTTATGCCTCCTTAGCATTTTTACACAGAACCAAATGACGGTGGCATCCGTCTGCTCCAGTGTGTGATCATAGACTGCATCCCAGCATCGTGGAATCAAAAGAGGTGACGTCATGTAACACATCAGTGATGGCCCTTTAGTGTGACAGTTATGTGTCAGCAGCGCTTTCTAAACAATAGCTTAACATGGCAATAACAATCATTTACCTTCCCTGTCATATGCCGGCTAATCCTGCCCTCTGCTCTGAAGGTAAGGAGCTCCTGGACCTCATTGTCTTTCCAGTTTCCAGTTTGTTCTTTATCTTTGAGTGAGTCACTAACTGGTAAAAGCTACTTTTTAAATCTCCCACAGTCGGCTGCACTTGAGTTAACACATTACCATGTTTATACAGACACTGTTTCAGCGCTGTTACTTCCTCCCATGGTGGCTTAAAGGCAAGAAAACTCTGTCCCCCCATTCTGCGATCGTACCTTATATACAGTAGTGAGAGGTGGTATAATGGCGTGATATTCCCACCTGGAACAGGCGGTGTAAATGAGGCTTTAGTTGTGTTTTTTTAAACTTACCTGAATAACCCGCTTCTGCCACCTGTAGCGGCTGTGCTTGTGGACACTGAAGTTGTACTGTGACGGTGGCGGTTCCTGCAACAACAGCCAGAAAAAATCCACAAATGTCAGACATGACTACCTGATGGTAAAATTCCTTTCAGTGAACATACTGGTAGTAAAGTAAGAGGGATATTTTAAGGACACTGTCTTTTGTCCTGTAACTGTTTCCTGGTGTAGAACAAACGACTGCCACATTCCTTCGTAACAATACCTCTGGGCAAATCAAACTGGCCACAGACGGGTTTATTCGAAAACCGATTCAGCAGGCTGAGCAGCTCATTAACAGAACACTGTTTCCAAGACAGGTTTCCTCCGGCTTCAGAGTATACAAGGAGGGCATTCACAATATAGGAAGCAAATAATGTCCTCGAACTGAGCGCATGTCAAAGTGACAGAGAGTTGGAGGAGAAGAATGATAGCACTGTCATGTGTGGAGATGAGGCAGGGGAAACTGTTAGCCCTTTCTCTTCAGAGTTAAAACATATACCTACTAACACCTCTAAAGATCACTAAATAACATGTTCGTTTTTTTTTACACTGACATTGAGTCACATTTAAAATTGATATGAGAAACTTTTTAGCAAACAATGACCTGTTCAGACATCCAGCAGATATGGAGCAACAATAGAGTTCATTTGGAGTCATGTTTCTGACCATGTGATGAGTCTAAGTCCAATATTTACTCTCCTAAATTTTAGTTTTGTTTTTGGTCTCCACAAACTCCTGAGGAAAATAGCTGTTTTTCTAGCTGCTAAATGCTGAGCTGTGTTCACCAGCTGCTAACGTTGTTGATGTGTTGTATTTTGTTTGTTTAATCTGTACACAAACAGAAGGCTCCACTCAGTTCTATGGTCAGCACAGTCACCAGAGGAAATTATTGGCATTGTACATTTCTGCAAACCACGCATACATTTACAGTTAAATATGAACGTTTCATTGGTGTCATGTCACCAATTCTAAAGTGATGTAGTTCTGATTACATGTATGTGAAATGACCTTGTGATTGGGAGGTGGAGGGGATGGAGGATGGCGTCACATCTAGGCAGGAGCTGCAGGCCAATGTTCAAGACCAACAAACAACAAACTTGTTTTTTAGCAAGACATCTGCGGCCTTTCCGGTGACGCTCCCACCACAAAGAGTAGGTATTTTTACCCAAGGCATCAGCGACATTTCCAGCCGCAATTCTGCCACCAGTTTTTATAATGAGACACTGGCGGCGTTTACAGTGCCAATTGTACAGTTAAAAGTGGGTGTTTTTTAATAAGACATTGGCAGCTTTTCCAGCTGTGATTGTGTCACCAAAAGCACTTGTTTTATAGCGAGACATCGGTGGCTTTTCCGGTGGCGCTTCTGCCACTAAGAGCAGGCATCAGCAGCATTTCAAGCTGCGAATCCACCACCAAAACTGGATGTTTTCTAGCAAGACATCAGCTGCATTTCAAGCTGTGATTTTGCCACCAAAACTGGATGTTTTCTAGCAAGACATCGGCTGCATTTCAAGCTGTGATTTTGCCACCAAAACTGGATGTTTTCTAGCAAGACATCGGCTGCATTTCAAGCTGTGATTTTGCCACCAAAACTGGGTGTTTTCTAGCAAGACATCGGCTGCATTTCAAGCTGTGATTTTGCCACCAAAACTGGGTGTTTTTGTGTTGAGACACTGCCGGCTTTTCCAGTGACAATTGTGCAACCAAAACAGGTGTTTTTAGCAAGACTTCAGAGGCATTTCCAGCTGTGATTGTGTCACCAAAAGCAGCTGTTTTTAGTGAAATTTCAGAGGCATTTTCAGCTGTGATTATTTCACCAAAAGCGGATGTTTTATAGTAAGACATTGAAGGCATTTCAAGCTGCCATTGTGCCACCAAAAGCAGGTGTTTTTAGCAAGACATCAGTGGCATTTCCAGCTGTGATTTTGTCACCAAAAGCAATAATCTTTGGGGAGACATTAGACTGTGTCATAAAAAGCAGCTGTTTTTAGTGAAATTTCAGAGGCATTTCCAGCAGCGATTATGTTGCCAGTCGTGATCATGCCACCAAAGCAATTGTTTTTAAAAAGACATCAGTGGCATTTACAGCCATGATTTTGTTTTTGGGGAGACATCAAGGGCATTTCCAGCTGTCATTATACGTGGTTGTTTTTTAGCAAGACATAGGTGGCTTTTCCAGCAGCGATTGTGTCACCAAAAGCACTTGCTTTATAGTGAGATATTGGAGGCATTCAGTTTTGATTGTGCCACCAAAAGCGGGTGTTTTAAGCAAGACATCTGCAAAATTTCCAGCTGTGATTTTGTCACCAAAAGCAGATGTTTTTTAGGGAGTCATCAAGGGTGTTTCCAGCTGTGATGTGTCATTAAAAGCAGATGTTTTTAGCAAGACATCAGAGGCATTTCCAGCAGCGATTATGCCACCAACCATGATCGTGCCTCCAAAGCACTTGGTTTTTGGCGAGACATCGAAGCATTTCTAGCTGTTAATGTGCCAGTAAAAACAATTAATTTTAGAGAGACATCAGTGGCATTTACAGCCATGATTTTGTTTTTGGGGAGGCATCAAGGGCATTTCCAGCTGTGATTGTGTCATTAAACGTGGTTGTTTTTTAGCAAGACATCAGTGGCTTTTCCAGCAGCGATTGTATCACCAAAAGCACTTGCTTTATAGTGAGATATTGGAGGCATTCAGCTATGATTGTGCCACCAAAAGCGGGTGTTTTAAGCAAGACACCTGCGACATTTCTAGCTGTGATTTTGTCACCAAAAGCAGTTAATTTTGGCGAGACAGTGACGCTATCTCAGCAGCGATTATACCTACAATATGGGTGTTTGAAGCCAAAACATGAGCTTTTTCCTAACCGTTAAAGCATGTTATTTGTGCCTAAATATAACCACAAATTAATCACAGCATTGCTACATTTTAAATGCTCAAATGTTGTAGAAACGTACATTGCCAACAATTATTCTGGCAATTGGGTTGCTTTGGAGTGTTACATTGTTTGGGTTCTCTGTCCCATAACTGTACAGATTTTGTTCATTTTCACTGCTATCAAAATGTGTTTTTTCAACAGCTGTTTCCAGTGAAAAACTCTGTAAATGCCCACCATGTGCTCCCTGTCCAGCACCAAACAGTAAGGCCCTGATTTTCCTTATAGCAGAGTAGAAAACCTTGCCACACTCAAACTCACATCAACATGAGAGCTTTGGGATCACAGCCCACAAACATAATGAGAACACTTGGATTAAATGTTGTTACCTCTTCAGCCAGGCTCTTGTGTTGGAGCAGCTGCTGCCTGTCCTTCCTGGCCTGGTTCAGAGCATCCTCGATGGACAGCTCTCCGCTCTTCACCTTGTTCATGATGCTCAGCTGCATCTCATTGCTCAGCTGAAGTCACAACAGCCAGGTAAATGAAGATTAATTGTATTAATATGTTAAGAGGTCATCCCTAACTGTGAACTAGCATATTTTATGTGAATTTTGGTTAATATTTTTATTAAGATTTTTAGATACAGATATAAATATGTATGACAGTGTGACAAAATCTCTCTTTAAAGTGTTACATTTGGTAAACAAATAACTACAAAGCCATTTTCAGACTTCCTTTAGGGCTTTCATGCTCTCCCATTTAGCTGTCATGGAGTATTTAGCTTTAGCAATATTTCTCCAAAGCACTGCTTTAAAAGTGTTCTCTCAGATTATGTATGATGTTGATAAGAGAGACAGGATTAGTCAGCATCAGCTCTCTAGAACTATAAAGAGGAACCACTGCATTGCAATCTGCATCTGTTAAACACATTACAGGAACATACGTGTTCTTTAGATCAGTCATTGTCTGACACAATTCTGAGTAAACAGTCATTCCCTTGTGGGAAACTACTAACAGCAGGGAAGTCTGGTTGAATTGAGGAACTAAGAAGTGTTTTAAGAGACTCCCATATACTAAAACTTTTGCGTCTACTCTGCACAGACGTGACGTTACTGAAAGTGAGAGGGCTGATCTGCAGAGAATTGGTTTTACACTTTCATAGTCATAAATCAGATTCTGACACTTGGTATTAAAATAACTTATTGTTTGATATTTGCGTCCTTACCTTAGTGTACAAACTGAAATCTTACCTGTGGAAAGTCCTCACTGGGTCTGTCCATTTTGGGTAGATTGTCTTTCTTCTTTGATCCTAAACTTGGCATCATAACGTTTTAGATTTTACAGAAAAATCCATGAAACCGCTCAGTCCAAGAAAGAGGTCCTCTTTTGTCGCAAAAATGTGAAAGATGTTTTGTTTTTCCCCTCATGCAAGACTCAGAGAGAACTCTGCTTCTCTGACAGGGGAAATGCGAAAGTGCCGTGATTTGTGTCACTCTTTTTACCACCGCCCTCTTTCAGCTCAAGTTACACGTCTTGTAGGTAAGGCAGGTATTCAGTGTTTGGCCACACCTACAGCAGCACACAGGCTATTTGTGCATTCTGCACATTGAACGCTTCCAGTCAGGTTACATGTCTCCACTCGCAGGACAGTGTGCCTTATCTGCTGCTCGGTCTGTTTCATCCAGGAGAGAACACTGAGATTCCTGCAGCTATGTCCCAATACTCAAAAATAATAAAATAAAACACAGTAATGCAGTAAACATCTCTCATAGAGGCACATTCATGCGCTTCTAATGGGGATCATTGAATACACAAACAATGGATTCTAATCAGAATATTATTAAAAAGTATAATTCCCTCTTAGATGTAGAGGAGTAGATAAAGTAGCATAAAATGTTAATACTCAAGTACAAGTACCTCAAAAATATACCTATGTACAGTACTTGAATAAAAGTACTTAATACATTTAACTGTTTCCCAACTCTAGTGAGTGGATTTAGCAGTTATAAAGTAATCTGTTTTCACTTGTTTCATTTCATTTTGTTTCTTTTTATGTACACATGTAAAAAAATGTTTAAAAAGACAATGCATCATTTGCAAAGGAATGTGGAGGAGAACTGCCTAAAAACCCTCCAGGGGCTCGGAAAGTGTCATTCTCCGGGCAGCATATTACAGAACAATAATTACAGCTGTGTGGTATACACTTTGTGTGTATCGAAGACATAGTTTAACATAATACTTAACAATTCATCCTTAAAACACCCAGTTTATACACAATAATAATTGAGACAAACATCCACACCCACCAGCACTGCTTGCTAAAAACTACTAATGTTTTTAACATCAAAATTCATCAGTAATCTGGAAATTTTTAAAATGCAATTTGCATTTAAAAAGCATCAAAACAGAGCTTGTTCTCTTTTAAGTTTTTCTTTTATCTATTTATTTTCAACATGACTCACAGGTGTACATTATTCAATGACTGCTGTCAGTATCACAACACAAACAGATATCAGGGCAATGAAAGACAGGTAAGTAAAAAGACAAACCATTAGTATTAATAAAATAAACTATGTGACCTTCACAGTAAATTCATACTTCATGTAATACTAATACTGCTGTTATGACACAGACAGGAAGTAAGATAAAATTCACATCTGCACCTTTTGATCATTCTCCCGATCACCCCTTCCCCATGAGTCTCTCTCTGAATTGTACATGTAAATAATTTCTCAAACATACATTAGAGAGTAAAAATGAAGACTTCACCCATAAAAGGTGGATTTTCTCACCAACAACAGTGTAAAAACAGAGAAGCATGTGCCTTTATATTCTTTATTCAGGACAAAAGGAAAAGTTAGAAGTGAAAAGTGATTAAAAAATGTGAATTTTAGCCTAACACCTGTCCTTCCTTTATCCCTTCCTGTTAAGTCTTTATCAACAGTGCTCAGTGTTCAGAGTATTTCTCAAACATGCATTATAAAGTAAAAATGAAGACAAAATGCAAATAAGAATTCATACCATTTTTCTAGCTAAGCTTAGTGCATCCTCCTTCACCTCAAACATAACATGACCTGTCCACAACATAAAGGTTGTTCGTCAGCCCTTCCTCATACTGCCTGTACAAAAAGATGATAAGATATCTAAACAGCAAATGATAAATTGAGTAGTAAAAAAATGAACACACAGAGATTAAAATAAAAAAATAAAACATACACATAATATATACATAAACACATAAGTTAGCATGCACAGAGGACGCCTCCCTCCATGTCACTGATCTCCCGGTGGTGGTGGCTGCAGCGTCGCGCCCTGGACGCAGGGCAGCAGTCCAGGCCTCTGGTGGTGGTGTTTCTCACAACGCCTTTCTTCGTTGGTGTGCAGTGTCACGAGAGGTTAGTTTGCAGACCCTTCTCCTCTTTTTGACTCCCTGCCGCTGTGTTAAACCCCAGCCCTGTCCTCAATCCCCTAAACTCCCCTGCCTGAGTGCTAGTTATTATTAGTGTATCATTAAATCCTGGTTTTATGGCACTTTAGCTTTAAGTTGAATATTTTTGATTAATATTTTAAATTTAGTATTTTTACGGTAACATGTTTCTGACCTTGTGTGACCTCATCAGCTTTAGGGAGTCTTAATAATTTTCTTGGGTAAAATTCCCGTGGTGGCATTGATGCAACAACCTTTACTCTCCTCCTCATGCCACACGTGCATTGTTAAACAGGAATTAATATAATCTGTGGGTGTTCAAGGCTATTTACTTTTAGTTCTTATCAACAATTACTAACTTTTTTAACATCAAAATACCTAATTCATCTGGAAAAATTAAAGATGTTCAAAAAAAATTCCTGGGTGAGAATCCCCTTACAAGGGCTTATCCCCGAATGTCCTCAAATCCTAGAAACGCCCCTGGTAATTGCCGACACCCACATGAAATATGGGTAAATATATACATAACCGTACTGTCCAGTTTTTAAGGAAAATCCAGATAAAATCACCTGCAAACTGAAAAAGCACCAAATATGATTTTTCCATCATTTTCCTATTAAAAAGTTTTCCCATGATAACTTTGATTGGCGCGGCCCTACAAAGAGCAGTTTTATAGCTACAAACTGTTTTACAGACACAAAGGTTGTAATGTCTTATTTTATGCATTTTTAGGATGATTATTTTACCCCCAAAATGTCTGCATATGTGAGAAAATGCTGATACTTTATTCTGCCTTTAGATAATCTTGTCAGAGTGAGATAAATAAATGCTGAAAATTTGCTCATTTTGCGTTTGTTTTGATAACTTACAGTCCAGAGAGGATTTAAATGTGTCTGCTTTGCTACTGATTTGATATTTAAATGATGTTGAAATCAGGATTATACATTTATAGAGCCAGGGAGATGTCACTGAGAAAAACAAAACAAATATGTCCTCTTAGTTTAATAATAATAGCGACTCAGGGATAACTTCATTTGGGCTCTTGACTTGATTTTGTTTTTAGTGTAAGACAGCCTCTTTAAGATTAAACAAAGTCACTCCTTCATAAAAGAACATACAGTAGTTGTGTAACTGCTGCATCCACACAGGACTGTTAAAATCACCACATCTGTAATGTTTCATGAGTTCTGCCTCTTTCAGTTTGCTCTACATTTAAGTCTTGGTGTTTGTGTTTTTTCATGCTCGTCTTTTGATGTATTTATTTTTTGCAAAACGAAAGATAAAACTAACAAAACAACACAAAGACAACAATAAATACAGGACTGTGGATAAAAGTTTTATTGGTTGTTGTGTTATTAACTATTATTTATTTTAGCTTTCATCATTCAATTTTCTCTTTCTCAATTTACATTTAAATATGTGTTGTTTTTTGCTACTTTTTTCTTGTATTTTATGTCTTTTGTGATGTTATTATTAGTAATATGGCCAAAAATTATGTCCATATTTAATCCAATTAATATGGAAAGTCTTATAACAACTTATATAGGGGAGAACGGGGTCGGTTGTAACACTGGTTGGTTGTCACAGTGCTTATTACAGCCACACTAGAGGGTGCTGTGACTAAATAGAATCTTAACAGTTACAAACTTCAACTCTGGCTGTTTGACATTTTAACAAAAGGTCCTGGTTATATTGTGATGCAGATTAATCTGTTAATGTTATATTTATGATGAATAAAAACGTAGATTTATTTTCAGCCCTCTAAATTCTTAGCGTATTTTACTTAAATTACAGAGGATCATTCAAACAAACAATCACCTGGTTCAAATTCATGGTTTAAACACAAGGGGCATTGATGAGCACTATTATATAGATGGTTTTCATTTCAAAACTTATTTGGTGTTTCTATCTTGAAAAACTAAAAAGTTACACGTCTTTTTTATATTCTTTTTTTTTTTTTTAACCTGAAACCCCATTGATGACAATAGGGACGTCACAGTGTGTCAGAGTGTCTTTGATGGTTAATAACTTCTAGTTACAATAAGTTACAAAAATGACAGGGACACCCATTTCAAGCTAAGACCTTAAGCTTTCACTTAATGTAGGAATGAACGTTGACAGATGTTTTGATGATGATAAATTTAGACAAGAGTAAAAGTGTGACAACCAACCCCGGTCTCCCCTACATGGTAATAGAAAATATTTCATTGGGCACATTCTTGCTGTCGGACTTCACCCATGAAAGGTGGATTTTCTCACCAGCAACAGTGTAAAAACAGAGAAGCTGTGACTTTATATTCTTTATTCAGAACAAATGGAAAAGTTAGCAGTGAAAAGTCCTTCCTTTATCCCTTCCTGTTTAGTCTTTATCAACAGTGCAAAGTGTTCAGGACTCATAATAGAAAAGGGACAGAAATGTTAATACCAAAAAAAAAAACCTCGTCTCTTACAGGTAAATATCCGGTGACAGGAGTGACGAGATGACCAGGATCAGCATGAAGGTGAAGTCACTGATTTCTACTTAAGCATTTTTTCAAAACAAACCTGAGGTCTGAACTGGGGGAAAAGACCAAAGTTCAGATGTGTCATTACATAAATGCTGGCTGTAGTTTCAGTACACAGGAATGGACACTCTGCTTATCAGGAATCCATTGGAATTTCCAACCAGAGGAAGGTTCTGAGAAATGAAGTGTGCATGCTCTTTGGCTGCAGCTACCTGTACCGTAATTACATGAATACACGTGTGTCAAAGTCTGGTTGGCAGCTGGTTAGATGGACTCTACTAAAACTAAAATAGCTACAGGGCTCACCTTTAGACACATTAAATGGTCAACACACAGCAGTGTTGTTCTCACACCAGCAGTTAGGCACAATGACCACATGGGAAACCCCCCCTCCACCCTCATGAAAACTTCTTGGGGAATCCCTCCAGCTGGTGTAGTTTCAGGCTTTACAGTAGAGCAGTTGTGGCTGTTATCAGTGACACAATAAACCT